GCGAGCACCGGGGGGATCTCTGGTCGGGGAGGGGGGGGAGTGAGCGGCTCCTGGCCCCGCCGCGCGGGTTCATCTGGCGGCAACGGCAACGTCGGGGCCGTGTGGCGAAGGGCGGTGGGCAGCGATCACCCGACCAGCAGCGAGGACGAGGGGAGCAGCGAAGACGACAACGATAGCGACTACGAGAGCGATGAGGAGTACGATGATGCGGATGAGGCGGTAGGTTCCGGGTCAGCGGCGGCGGCGGCGAACGGGGGGAGCCGCGCGGCTGCCGCTACCGGGGGAGGGGCTCGGGACGGGGAGCTGACGGTGAGACAGTGACGGGAGTGAACCGCCTTCGCGAGATATTAAGTTTGTATGAGGAACTAGAGCAGGGAGGGGATACGCAGACTCCGTCCTTTTTGGTCCCAACCGTAACCCCACTTCCCCGACTGTATGCTTTATCCGACATGTTAACTTGACTGAAAGAAAACGCTGCGAACGCTGTTGTGCTGGAGGCAGGGGCGACGGTGTGTGACGGTCCTTTTAGGGGGGGGGTAGTGTACTCATCGTGTTAGGACATGCCGTAGTCGTTAGACCGTTGACCTCGCGCCCCTACGAGGGAGGAGGTCGGCTGGTGTTGTTTTGGTCCAGCTGGTGGTGGTGGCAATGTTGATGACAGCTTGCTTGTTTGTTTGGGTGGGGAAGATGTAGGACGACTTCATTCGTCGTTCCTGACGTGCTTTTGTGACCTTTTCGAGTAAGACCGGACGAAGGCGGAGGGGCATCTGCCTTCCTGTCACAATTGTGCTACAGTAGTGTCGTATCGTGTAACGAAGGGGATGTGGGAACACCATCCGACATGCAGCCAGCCGTACGTTCGTTCTGGCAATACGACCGGAGCAAGCCTCTCAGTGCTTCTCTCTCCAACACTCGTGCGGGTCTCCTTCAAGTTACTTTTTTTTTTCTCTCTCTCTTCGCCGCCAGCCGCCGTTGTAATCCTTCACCGAGTGCCCCCGAAGCTCTTTCTACATCTTTCCGAGTCTCTCTCCCAGCTCCTCGTCCCTGACCCCCCCTCCCCGTACCCTTGTGCCCTCAGGACGAGATGCTGTCAAAGGCCTACGACTCCGTGGAGGCTGCCTCGCAGAGCGGGGGCCTATCGCCGATCCAGTTCTCGTCCCTTTGGCGATCTCTCTCTGGGGACAGGCATAACCTCTTCGCCGAGATGAAGATGTTCCACAAGTTCAACACCTCGGGGGACAGCGTGGTTAACTTCGAGGTATGTATGCTGTCATGTTGTTGATGTTGTTGGCGTTGTTGGCATTGCCTTCACATTGAAGAAACTGTTCCGATTCGTACCGACGCTAACGCCTGACGTGGTCACAGTTAGAAAACTACCTTAGGTTGCGTAAGATACCACACACCTTCGAGCGTTTTTCAATGCTTGCATTACTCCACGACGGAGAGGATGCTGAAATCAAAGGACTTATAATTGCCGACGGCTCACGCCCGGATCGAAACTTCAGCGTGTGACCCTCCCCCCCTACCTCTGACATTGTTGAGGGCGAGCAGCAGATGCGTACGTCGACGTCAACGCTGTGCACTTCGTGTTTCCTCCTGTTCCTGAGAATTGAGCGTTGCTATGCATACCACAAAGGAAGCTCACGTCGATTGTTCTTCTGTGTGTGTTAACCCTTCCCACCACCCCTCCTTTTTTCTTTTTCAGGAGTTCAAGGCCGGGTTCCGCCTCATAGCCCAAGAAAACGCAAAAGAGCATGAGCAGGTGCTCAAGAATCTCAAGGACTGGACCGATTCGCAACCCGCCGCGTTTTAACGGGTTTTGATTGGCTATCCAGCCTTGGCTTGGCTGGCTCGGTTAGTCCTCGGGCGGGGGGGCATTCGGCGGGCCTCAACTCGTCCGAAAACCAAAACCAAGAAAAGACAAGAGGTCGTACGCTCCTCTCTTGTATCCTTCGTGTGTGTACAGTATACAGCTATCAAGAGCGATCCGTTCGCTGGTTGGTCATGCTAGGGGCAGCTGCCGGCCAGCCCCCTTTTGACCTCCCCGCCCTGTAAGTATATGGGGGAATATTTCTTGTTTTTGGTTATGTTTTCTTTGTTGTTTTTTCCAGCGTAATTTTCTCTCTACTTTTTTTATAGTGATTTCCATGGTTTCTGGCGGCTGTGGGAAGTACGGTGCGTTTCCTACCTCCTCTTCCGGGCTTAGGTCTGCCGCTGCTATGCATGCAGCGAGGCAGCGTGATCGGAGCGCTTCGTTTTTCTGCACCTTTTTTTTGGGGGGGGAGGGGGGGCAGGCAGTTGTATTGAGTGCGCGAGGTGTGCCTCACGCACGAGGGGATCGAAAGATTCGCACAACATGAGCCGTTCTCGTGATGCGTCTCACGCGGGGGTTTCATTCTCGATAAGGTGTATTTTCCCCTAGGGGACGGGAGTAGCGCCCGGCTCGTCATTCATCCATCCGGTGGTAAAACGTGGTAGATATTTAGAGAAGTAGGCCTTGCTTGGTGGTGGGAGTTGTTGGCTGCGAAGGCACCGAAACGACCACCTGTAACACCCATGCACACACACACACACCCGCACCCATCTACACACTCTACACCAGCCTGTGGTGAACCACTCAATCTCCAGAGTGCAGGGAAGACGGCTGTGTTGCTCTCCCGCGCGTGTTTGTGTTCGTCTGTGTGGCCGTGGAAATCAACCCCGCTGCTTGGTCTTTCCCCCTTCGACATGGGAGAGGGATGGGCATGTTTTTAGTTTGGCGTCGAGAGGGGGCGGCGGCGGCTGATAGAGGGCGGTGGGACTGATGTGATGCCGTGTCTTGGGGCGGCGGTCCAGATAATTATGACATCAGTTTATGATTTTTTTTTCTTGTGTGTTGTTGGTCGGCAATGGGTAGCAGCAGTAGAGTTGCCTTGGGGCCCGTGGCTCCTGCGTGAAGGAGGTTGGCTGCACGTAGATAGCCTTTAGTTTCACATGCCACGAAACCCCCTCCCCCGAGGATGGTGAGATGAGGATTTGGTCATGCCGTTGGGACCCATCGGTTGCCAGAAATAATCCATGAGGTGGACAAAATTTGGGTATAACAAGGATGGGGGGTCCTGTGCTGGGGCATCGGTAGCAAGACAGCACGGGGGGGGGGGGGGNGGGGGGGGGGTATCGTGTTATTCTGGACCCTGGGAATTTGCACATTTTGACTGCAACGCCGTGGTTTTGCCCGCGTGCGATGCTCCGCTGCCGTAGGCATTATAAAGGGCGGGTTGATTTGTTTTTCATTTGCTCGTTTTTTTTTTCCCTTCGTCCTTGTTGTGAGGAAGTTGGTTGCATAGAGGGAGGGAGGACCGCCGTACGATAACATGTTTGTGGAGAAGATGGACGCGACACGCGCTACGGCGTGACGTGTAGTGGTCGCGTCGAGATGCTCCGGTAAGATGGTCGTCGGTCGGCGCGAGAAGGTATGTCCGCCGCGGTCTTGGTAAATTAAGTGGTCGGGCGGGGGAGTTTGGTACGAAGTTGTCCGCCGCTGAGGGGTAGTCACACGTGGGTAGCGAGAGACGTGCGGTTGTGGTCGCCTCACCCAGCCCGACTGCTGTGCATGTGAGAGGCTTCAGTGCTGCCGCCTGTTGGTGGTTCTCGTCCATCGACCTAGGGTTCTCCACCCGCTTCGGCAGCATTTGATGGTTCTGGCTTTGGGCGGGGGGCTTAGGTGTTGGTGTGTGTGTGTCCCAGTCGGGCCTCTGCCTGTGTAGACAAAACTTTTTTGTGTGAAGCGTACGGCCGCATGTGTTCCGTGTATCGCCGGACATACAGAGAACCCTCATCATATCCCACGGCCTCGACGTCATTGTAAAACAGGAAGAGCGTGTACATCGCGCACCGTATGTGTCTCGTTTGTATCACATGCATGTGCCGCTTTTTCAAAGGACGGCCGAGGGGGGGCAGGGGGTACGCTGGCGTGATGTATGGCTTGGGTCATGCCGTCCTCTGCAGCAGTACGTGGTGACCCGCCGCGCCTTACTTCATGGTGCCGTGTACAAGTACATGTGGGGTGGCAAGCCAACTCCGGGTAGTGTCGGCGGCAGCATGGGGTAAGCGCACGGGCCGGCCGGTCTTGCTTTTTCTCTCTTTCGAGTCGTTTTCAGCACTTGACTTTCTGCATGTGTGTGCCTGTGTGTGTGAAGCGGGGGGGGGGGGG